ACATCTAAACACATATTTCTTTGCAGCCTGCGTGAACCCCTGCGCTGTCACTCGTTGGCCATTGTCAAGGCATTTCATTTTGTCAGGTGCACCAAGGAAGATGAGTCCCATATAGATAATCAGCTATTTAGGGGGAATGCCAGATAACAAAACTGCCTCAGAAAAGCACGTATCAGACTGCAGAACATGTACAGACTTTTTATCACTCAACCTAAAAGATATCTAGGCCTCCCTCCTTTTCGAAGAGCCTTAAGTTACCACCCTCTATGGGTGCGGTTCTTGTAGACTCTGTACAGAACATGCCCTGTGTGCTATGTGCCAGCCCAGTGCCTTAGACAATCTAGAGTGTATAAAGAGCCAGCTGAAGTGTAGTTAAGATGCATCAAGGTTGCTAAAATAGCATTAAAAGGCAACTAAAACCTCCCCAAAGTGTCTACACTCTCATTGTAGTCCATGGAGACCTAGGGTTCAGTTCAGATGCGTCTGGGTTGTCAGATGTGTTACAGGCCTTACAAGAGATCCAGATCTCTTTGGATTATCATCTGGAGACCAGGATATGTCACAGCACCTGGAATTATTTAGTCACATAGGTTTAGCAATGCCTTTTGATATGTGAACATACTGTTTTGACATGCTAGCCATCCTGCAGTAACATAAGGCAAACAAATACTTCACCCAGCATGTCTACAGTAGCATAAGGACGAATCATGCTCTAATTTTCATTTACTATTCTGACTAGGTTCCATTGAGAGTTTGGATCCCTGGTTTACACTTAAATGTAAGTGTCTAAATTCAAGCTATATCCCAGTTATAGATTCCTGTGATGGTCAAGAAAACACTATCTCAGAACTGAGTTTCAGCCATGACTTTTATTCCAGTGCCTAGAACAATGTTGATAGCACCACAGTGGCTTGTACATCTTTATCCAACTTAAAATTAAAAACGTTCCATTTGCTTTCAAACTGTTCATCATTTTGGCAGCTGCCAAAGTGTCATCCTTCTTTGAAAAAATGCTCTGATATCTTCCTTTGAACTATTTCTCCGGGCTAGTGCTGTTGTTTCCCTCTTTGTTTTGTGCACACTCTGCTGCTAACTCCAGAAAAGTGATCAAATACATTGGGCTTGTACCTTTTTTTAGTGACTCGCTGTTATTAACTTACCTTTTGCAACAACATGGATGTAGGCAGCACCTTATGATGGGGTTTTTTGGACTCTATTTTAGAACTATGTGTCTCAAGTCTCTTTTGTCTTTTGGTTCCTCTGTTTTGTCCTATTCTGTCAAAATTGTGGTCTACCTTCCATAGTCTTTGGCCTGTAAAGAGCAATTTCCCTGGCTTTGCAGCCTTCAGTTTTACTGTCAAAGGTTAATAGTGGGTTTGTCCCAAATCCCAATCGCAAACTTGTCCTTTATAACATTCACAAGTATTGGCTCCTCAGCCTTTAATTATTTTCACTTATCCTGTCTGTTTCTGAGGAGCTTTTTACTGTTATGAGCTTTAACTGTTGTGTTTTTCCACTCAGTGGGGGTTTTTTTTGTATCAGAAATAGTGTGGCCAGCAGGACTAGGGAAGTCCCCCTGTACTCGGCACTAGTGAGGCCGCACCTCAAATACTGTGTTCAGTTTTGGGCCCCTCACTACAAGAAGGACGTCGAGGTGCTGGAGCGTGCCCAAAGCAGGGCAACGAGGCTGGTGAGGGGTCTGGAGAACAAGTCTCATGAGGAGCGGCTGAGGGAACTGGGGTTGTTTAGCCTGGAGAAAAGGAGGCTGGGGGGAGACCTCATCGCTCTCTGCAACCGCCTGACAGGAGGTTGTAGCGAGGTGGGTGTCGGTCTCTTCTCCCAAGTAACAAGCGATAGGACGAGAGGAAATGGCCTCAAGTTGAAATTTCTTCACTGAAAGGGTTATCAAGCATTGGAACAGGCTGCCCAGGGAAGTGGTTGCATCACCATCCCTGGAGGTTTTAAAAGACGTGTAGATGTGGTGCTTAGGGACATGGTTTAGTGGTGGATTTGGCAGTGCTAGGTTAATGGTTGGACTGGATGATCTTAAAGGTCTTTTCCAACCTAAACAATTCTATAATTCTGTGATTCTTAGATTGTGCTATTCATGCAATATGAATGTACCTTGCTACAGAATACAAGTATGGCAAAGCAAACAGAAGCCTTTTGACAAGCTATAGAAAATCTGGGCTGACCATGACAGTTAACTGGAACCCAACAGCTATTAGCTCTCCTGCAAGGTGCAGACATGGGTCCTAGCCAGGAAACAGAGTAACCAATTAATGAGAACTGCTCTAATCACTAGCTAAAGCTAGAAAAAAGTGAGGATTTTTCTACAATAGAATTAATTTTACTTTTGGTACTGTTAAATTATATATCCTGGTAACATCATCAGGCAAGCATGGCTTTTTTGAAAATGTCAACTACTCTCATTTATATTTAACTAAAACCTGAAAATTAAAAATGGAGGGTTTTTTCATTTTTAACAGCCAAAAAGCCATATTTTAAAAAAGTCGATTTCTCTTTGTGTTTTGAAATTAAAATAATACTGCAGAGAGCATAAAAGACACAGGATGTAATGCTAATAGTTAATAAAATAGCAGTGTTTTTCATTACTATTTCTAATAAGATAATGACAGTGCTAAAAATATTTTCCCTGTTCCATAAAAAGTTGTAGCTGTATTTTAATCAGTAAATGGACTTAAAATATGCACAGATGATGTTCTTAAGAGTTTCTTTACAATAATATGCTATTTTCACTCTAACTGAAGGTCTGTCAATTTGCACATTTAATTTAGGCATTCATTACTTACAGACTACGGTGTACAATTTATACTAGGCTTCTTGGATGCTTTCATGTTTCAGATGTTCATGTTTCAAATTACAAAAAGGACTGTTAGGATGATCTGGTGCTTTCAAGGCCTTTCTATCTATTTAAGTATTGTATCCAGCTCATCCAACCTTATTATAAGCCTTCAGGTACTTTTAAGATTCATAAAAACAAGTGACTACATGAAGAATTTCAATTTCCATTTAAAAAATAGCTTATGTCTGGTTTGATATCTCTTCTACTTGTTAATACCTATATTCAGTGATCAGTGACCTCTCAGCCTTTTTGGATAACCCATCTTGTGTACATCAGCGTGCCATGGGTGGCTGTGGCAGGCCCACTATATGGGACCTTATATATATAGGAGTTACCCAAAGGGCCCGTTTTTCAGGAGCGTTGTGCAAGTGTTCATTTAGTTTCTGTACACCTGTAATCGTGTATAATGCATATGAGAAATGGCAATAAAAAGGGTGAGAACTGTGGGGTTTTTGTATGTGTTTCACACTGATGAAAAAGATAAAGATATGGTTTGCTTTTGGGGGCCAGTCCTTACAACTGACATTTATTGTCATGCCTTCTTTGTTAATGAGACACATTCTTAAGGAAGTCAGACTTGATAATTTTTCGCCTTCACAGATGCTACAAGAATGGCATACCCAAGATGCAGGAAAAGAAGGAATTCCAAATGTTTCCCAGTTATAAAGACGTTGGGAGAATATATCTGGGAGGGGTGTGCTTGCCTGTTCTCATAGTCTTCCCGAGGTATCTGCTGTTGCCCTGTCTTGGAGACGGGGCCTTGGAACAGGGGGACTTCAGGCAGACCCAGTGTAGCTGTTCTTGTGTGAGCCAGCATTTATACGCTGTTCAACAGATGAAAAAAAAGGGATGGTGTTTTTGTTAGTGACATATTAGCTGAAAGGTCATGACATGTATAATGAAAAGAGCCATTAGTGTATGCCATTTTACATGTGTCATGAAACTATTCAATGACATTAATATTTCTATTGTAGAACGTATTAACTTGTAGCTAAGAAGTGATACAGTGCTGTGCATGGATTTGTGCTAGCAAGATCCTCTATCCTGATCAAATATTTAGATTTTAATAGGACTGCCCCAGAAAGTAGGATTAGCTTGCGCTGATCCAGTTGTGGGATATGGTCTGTTAGCTCCTAGACATTACAACATTTGGTGTATAATAATGGTAAGATTTGAATAATGAATAGCGCAATGTTCAAGTAAGTTGTTACATGCAACTGGGTGAGTTGTGCACACCCTCAAATAGGCATAACATTATAAAAGCAATGTTTACAGGTATCTTGAAAGCAAAGATATCACTTCGGAAGTTAAAATATAATTACTATCATTATTCAATGTGTTAGTTCTTGAGGAGAGTCATCTCTTCTTAAACACTATAAAAGTCTTTTAGCAAAGGATATGAGCATATTAAAAGCTATGATTTTTTTCACAAAGGTTTTAATCCAGCACAAGTAACTTTACCTTCTTAATTGTCCTTATAGCATCTTGATGAACTTGAAAGTAGAGGTCAAATTATTGCGTGAGGTTTTAAATCCTATCTGTTGCATTATTTAAGCAGAATGGAAATGCTTCTTTTGGATTTAAGTAAAATATATCTATGAAAATACATTGTATAAATCAGGAAACAGCGACATCGCACTGAAATTCTGGAAAGCTTGCTTGCACTGTTGTGTTAAAAAAACGTGGTTGTATAACTGGTAGAGTGAAAAGTCAAATGGCTCAATTAACTTTTTAAAGAGAACTTCAAGATTTTCATTTTTCTTCATAAAGATTTTGCAAAGTCACCGATTCCAAGAATGTTGCAATTCCATTTGTACAAAGGAAGAGGTAAAAAGTATAAAATAGTTTATATTTCCAGAGTCCTTACATAATCCTAAAGCCTTTGCCTATCATTATTTTAGCACCTTCAAAAGAGACATGGGCTGTAAAATCCGATTCACATTTCCGTTTCTAATTGGAATTGACACATCCTGGTTCAGTTCTATGTCAAGACTCAGATCTAGCAGAAAAAGTGATTATGAACAAAATGGGAAATCTTTAACGGCTAATCATAAATTTTGTCACTAAAGCAAGTTCTTTATAACTGCATTAAGCAAACGTGTATAGCTTACAGCCTGTGTTCTTGTTTCCACAGTGCATACATTATAACAGACTTCATGGGCATCAGGAATGAAAATTTTATGAAGGTAGCTGCAGTTGGGACTTGGATGGGAGATTTTGTCACAGCGTGGATGGTAAGAAACGCAATATTACATTTTAAAAGAAAAAGAATATGTTTCTTGGTTTCAAGGGAAAGAGGAGAGGAGAAGAGAGAAAACTCAATTTCTTGAAGTATTCAAGTATTTCAACCCAGACAAGTAGAAAGTTAACAAAGGTGAACTAGCATAATGGCAGGGTATTTAATTAGCTGGGAGTCCAGAAGAGTTTCTGTTAAAACGTATCAGAGCAGTATTTAATTTCTTCTGCTGTGAGTGGGAATTTTGCCATTGACTTCTGTGAGGACAGCATGGTGGCCCTTTGCTGTGAAATAACATCATGACTTGCTATCTGGTGAAACAGTGAGTAACAGTTAGAGATAAACAAGTCTAATGAAAAGGATTAAAAAAGAAGAAAAATTAACTGAAAGATGTGACAAAGAGCAATGGAGATGAGAGAAAGAAAGCAAGCCAGTTACATCCCAGAATTTGAAGGTAGCCTGTTTGATGTTGAAACTTCAGATTAAGTTTGTCTCTAATTTAGGATTAAGAAGAATGAAGTTTTCATTTGGATTATAATTGTTATAAATGTTCTCTCCTGAGATATGGGCAACCCAAAGATCAGCTTAGTGAAAAAAAAAACAGAAAATGACAGCTAATAGGGAACAAAATCAAGCATGTGCACATGTTTTTATTGTTCAGGAAAAGCATTTCTTAAACACAAGTGATAAAAGTGATTTTTTTTTTTGTAAGATTAGGTTTTTATGATTAGCGTAGGTAAGAATTTTAACAATTGTGACTGTGACATTAATTTAAATTGGGGAAGGAAGTCCATGATTTTTAAGGTTGCAGAATTGGTTTTAATTAATCTATTTTTTTTTTCCTAATGATTCATTGATACCTCTGTTTGTTTACTCAAAAGACTCAACATAATTTTAAAAGAATTCATTAACACAGGGAACATTGCTGATGGTGAATGTTTATCACATATCACATAAAAAGATCTCAGCACTGTATGTAGCTAGTGACTGCAATAATCTCTGGCATAAGCAAAGAAATAAGCCAAGGTGGATAAATTTTAGGACTGTGGTATGTGTTAGGAGAAAACACTATAGGAATAGTTTCAAGCAGGAATGACTGTAAGATGCTAAGGCTATAGTCTATAAAACTGTAGGAATAGTCTTCGAAGGGTCATCCGAGTTTCTGTCAATTTGTCTTCTATCCTCCACTTATTTGGGACATGCTGTACAACAGACAGAAGAAAAAAAAAGCATCAAGGATTTTTTCAGCATATTGTTCAGTGTGTGTCAGTGGTTTGTCTGAGACAAATTATGCTCTGTGAAATGGGGGCCATGAAAAGCCAGTACAGAGCAAATCATCTGTACATGCATTACAGTAAGGACATTGCAGAATTGGTGCATTGACTGATATTGACAATTAATGTGGATTTCTTGTGAATCAGTAATAAAATTCTTGGCTACTTCTGAATACCTTTAGCTTGACCCTTTTTTTTTTATGGACTTCCACAGCTTTATCCCACTATGGAAGGAAAGCTGATGCATAAGCTAAGCTGAATTGAGTGGGGTCATGTTCATCATACATACATGACTCAGAGCTCCAGTGATAGATTACATACAAGTTGCACTACTTGAAGTAATGTTCCTTTTTTTCAGTCCCTTTTTTTCTCATTTCCTTGAAAAAAACTGTTACTTGCAGCACTATATAAAGCATGGAAATGGCTGGATTCAAGAGGTCTGAGAATCCCGATCCTTTTCTGTGTACTCAAAGCCCTCTCAGGTCTTTTCAGCAATGGAGGCACAATTGGATTGTGCCACAGCAGATTCCAATGGTGGATGGAGTTATCGCTGAAGAATGGGAGAGAGACTGGGAGAGACTGCAGAGGCAGTTTGGAAAGGGGAGGCTGTTTGTAAACTAGGCTGGTTCTGTTAGCTTTCAGGAAGAGCAGAGGGCATGGGATTGGAGTGTCAATGTGTTTTAGGACACACTTTGATTGCACGAGGAGAATTAAGAGGTGTGGTGATTGGTGTTTAGATCTTCAGAGCAAAACAGAATAGCGAGATCGCTTCTGCAATGCAAATCTCTAGGCAAAGTGTATGAATCAGTGGAAATTCCAGTGTTTAAGGGCAGCTAAGCTTAGGAACATCAAAAAAAGCTACAATGTCAGGTAGAGAGGCATTAGTAACAGAAGAGCGCAGACATGCACGTTGGTACATGTGCATGTACATTGGTACAAACCTCCCACACAGCCTAACTTTAGCAATCTTATTCTATATGAACAGAAATTATCATGTTGTTTATAATATTTGAAGTTGCTTGACTTTCTGCATGTCAAGCCCAGCGTGGAATTGACATCAAACTGACATGAGTCTTCTGTGAGATTATTATATTTTATGAAGTTCTCCAATCCTGTTTGGAAACAGGAAGGAAAAAACAAACCTGTAAAGGAACCTTTGCACATCTTCCTATTCACAGCAGTGCTTATATTTTCTAATGTTTAAGAAGTTTCTGTAAAGAAGCCACCCATCCTTAGACTACAAATGAGAAGATGAAAAAGCCAATGTAGCCTTCACTTCAGTGTATTTTAACCATACTGGAATTAAGATCTTATTCCCTATTTAATTGGAAACTTTGGAAATAAGCAGGAATAAAGCAGAACAGATGGGATTCCATTTTAAAAATGAGTAATCAATAAACAGTAATATTGCCCTAGTACAGCGAGGAGAGGCTTATAAAATCAGCAAAGTGATTGAAATGGGAAAATATGTTTTGGATTGCTGTTTGTTTTAGATTTAAAAGGCAGAAGTGAGCCTTCCCCCTCAACACTTCCTAGCTCACTGACTAGTTTGGTGACAGGGTCTGACTCAATTCCTAATAAAATCAGCAATATTCTTTCCACTGTGTGTAATGAGAATGGGGCCATGCTATGGGTGCACAGGAGCTTCTCCTTTGTACCTCTGGACAGGAACTTCTGCTACTAATAATCATCTTTACTGAAATCTGTAGTAAGTGTTAGATGTTCGAAATAAGTCTGTGAAGGATGTTCTAAGTAAGTCTGTGAAGAGGGGAATGGGTTCAATACACTAACCATCTCTCTGCACTTTTTCCTCTTTGAAGCCAGGGAAGTATATTCTGCACCTGCTTTGACATACTCTCCTGCTCTCATAAAATGTGCATTCTGTTCTCATGGAGAGTGCTTTTGAGGCAGACACCACAGGATTTGGCACAGTAGGGTAGCTTTGGAAAAAAGGTTGGATTCCACCCAGACAAGCCTATAAACTAGCAATTATGGCCACCTTCTGAGAGAGTGCAAGCAGGCTGAGGAAGGAGCTGATTCCAGGGCAGAATCTCTGATGATTAGAGTCAGGTGGCCTCTGTAAAAATGAGCAACCTGCTGCAGCTGTGTTTTTGTGAGGGACACAGTCCTGAGCATGTGTGGTAAGGCATGCTCAGAGTATACCTACAGGAGTGGATGGCACTGAACATTGACGCAGAGGGCAGAGTACAACCAGAGCCTCCTCTGTTCTTTACAGCCTCCTGGTGAGGTGGAAGAGCCTGCTTTCCACCTTCTTTCCAGGCACTGTTGGCTTTTAGACTGTCAAAACTGTTGTTCTCCACTTTGGGTGATGGCTCTTTGGGCTCTCCAAAGTTTACATATTGGCCCTGCACTATAAATGATACTCGTACCACATTGAGAGATTTGCTTACCAACTGCCATTGCCGTTTACATTAAAGACATATCCCTGCCTACAAGCCCTACAAACGTGTGAAAGAGTCTAAACAGTACAAGTTTGTTACATCTTCCTTAGACCTTGCTTGCTAGGATTATCAGAAGCCGAAGCAGCCAACTTCAGCCAGAGGCTGGCACTAATCTCTATGAATGTATTGGGGGCTGATTCTCTTGACAAGGGATCCTGTTCCCATTTACCTTCCTTCTGAAAGGTCATTTAATTGAGATTCTCTTCTCCCTTGTTAATTGCTAGAGGGAACGGAGAACGTTTGAGAGATCACTGAGCAGCAGAGACTCTGCTGGCTCACATCATCAGAAACAATTATAAACTCAAGGGATGGTTTAGTTTATTATTCATCAAACTAGTATTTACGAAATCCATACAAGCATGTTCTTTTTAACAAGGAGAAGCCAAGACTTCTCTCAGCACTGTGCTTTAGCACAGTACTTGGCACAATGTCTTAGAGTGTAAGCTGAATCATTGTCACAATTCCTGACTGTTCTTTCTGACACCTTCACTTGACTTCAGTTTGACTCCTCCCTCACTTGGGACCATGAAGACTCCCAGGACCATTTCTGTCTTTCATCATCTTAGCAGAGGAATAAGTAGGAAGTTATGAAGTAGTACTTCGATCGTAGTCTGGATGGAAGGGTGATAGGTCACCACTTGTTCCACTGACCCATTATCCAGCACTGACATAGACACATCCTATCCACTTAGATGGATGGATATGGAGGTAGAGACCTTCTACCTAAGACTTCTGGTCAGGACATAGTATTGGGATTTCAAAAGGTTGTTACTGAGTGATGAATCCACACCTACCTTTCCTCATTAGTGGAACTGGATAATGACCCCCATACACACAAGTTGCCTGGGCCTCTGTGAAGTTTCTCAGGCAAAAGAGTCACATCATTAGGTGATCATACCTACACATCACGACATATAACTTGTGGTGGCATGCTGCTCCCTTTGATAAAGCTTATCTGTTCTTCTGCGAGAAGGATTTTCTGTTCTCTGAGATTTTCAGTGTGTCCTGTTTTTGGCAGGGATAGAGTTAATTTCCTTCCTAGTAGCTGGTACAGTGCTGTGTTTTGGATTTAGGATGAGAATAATGTTGATAACACACCGATGTTTTAGTTGTTGCTAAGTAGTGCTTACACTAG